AAAAATTTTCCAAAAAATCGTCAAAATTGGTTCAATCGACTGAAAATTGGTGTCAAATTGTAGATAACTTTCCGATTTTACAATTTTTGGGTTTTCCAATTTTTGATCCATTGATGTTTTTCGATTTTTAACTTTCTCGATTTTTAGTTTTCCAACGTTTCAATTTTTCGTTTCTTCATTTCTTCCATTTGCAATTTTTCAATTTTGTTATTTTACTTTTCTGCAATTTTTCGATTTTTTTAGTTTTTCAATTTTTCAAAAATTTTCCAAAAAATCGTCAAAATTGGTTCAATCGACTGAAAATTGGTGTCAAATTGTAGATAACTTTCCGATTTTACAATTTTTGGGTTTTCCAATTTTTTGATACATTGATGTTTTTCGATTTTTAACTTTCTCGATTTTTAGTTTTCCAACCTTTCAATTTTTCGTTTTTTCATTTCTTCCATTTGCAATTTTTCAATTTTGTTATTTTACTTTTCTGCAATTTTTCGATTTTTTTAGTTTTTCAATTTTTCAAAAATTTTCCAAAAAATCGTCAAAATTGGTTCAATCTACTGGAAATTGGTATCAAATTGTAGATAACTTTCCGATTTTACAATTTTTGGGTTTTCCAATTTTTGATCCATTGATGTTTTTCGATTTTTAACTTTCTCGATTTTTAGTTTTCCAACGTTTCAATTTTTCGTTTCTTCATTTCTTCCATTTGCAATTTTTCAATTTTGTTATTTTACTTTTCTGCAATTTTTCGATTTTTTTAGTTTTTCAATTTTTCAAAAATTTTCCAAAAAATAGTCAAAATTGGTTCAATCCACTGAAAATTGGTGTCAAATTGTAGATAACTTTCCGATTTTACAATTTTTGGGTTTTCCAATTTTTTGATCCATTGATGTTTTTCGATTTTTAACTTTCTCGATTTTTAGTTTTCCAACGTTTCAATTTTTCGTTTCTTCATTTCTTCCATTTGCAATTTTTCAATTTTGTTATTTTACTTTTCTGCAATTTTTCGATTTTTTTAGTTTTTCAATTTTTCAAAAATTTTCCAAAAAATCGTCAAAATTCGTTCAATCGACTGAAAATTGGTGTCAAATTGTAGATAACTTTCCGATTTTACAATTTTTGGGTTTTCCAATTTTTTGATCCATTGATGTTTTTCGATTTTTAACTTTCTTGATTTTTAGTTTTCCAACGTTTCAATTTTTCGTTTCTTCATTTCTTCCATTTGCAATTTTTCAATTTTGTTATTTTACTTTTCTGCAATTTTTCGATTTTTTTAGTTTTTCAATTTTTCAAAAATTTTCCAAAAAATCGTCAAAATTGGTGTCAAATTGTAGATAACTTCCCGATTTTACAGTTTTTGGGTTTTCCAATTTTTTGATCCATTGATGTTTTTCGATTTTTAGTTTTCCAACGTTTCAATTTTTCGTTTCTTCATTTCTTCCATTTGCAATTTTTCAATTTTGTTATTTTACTTTTCTGCAATTTTTCGATTTTTTTAGTTTTTCAATTTTTCAAAAATTTTCCAAAAAATCGCCAAAATTGGTTCAATCCACTGGAAATTGGTGTCAAATTGTAGATAACTTTCCGATTTTACAATTTTTGGGTTTTCCAATTTTTTGATCCATTGATGTTTTTCGATTTTTAACTTTCTCGATTTTTAGTTTTCCAACGTTTCAATTTTTCGTTTCTTCATTTCTTCCATTTGCAATTTTTCAATTTTGTTATTTTACTTTTCTGCAATTTTTCGATTTATTAGTTTTTCAAAAAATTCCAAAAAATAGTCAAAATTGGTTCAATCGACTGAAAATTGGTGTCAAATTGTAGATAATCTTCCGCCAGTTACAAATCTGAACTCGCCGTAACGATCTCTGGTTCAGTAAATGCGAAAAATGAATAAAAAATTTTCAAAAATTTTCCAAAAAAATGGTTACAATGTTTTCCATTGGACCGAAAATTGTCAAATTGTTGATAATCTTACGCTAAAAACAAATAAGGGATGGTATCCATGTGGATGATTCTTAACTTTATTATTGTCATATTGTTCCAACAAGTAACAAAACAATAAATAACTATGGTTTCACACTACATACTTAAAATTAAATTTCACGAAGTTTACAATTCTTCATCAAACTTCAGAAGTCATATGAGCGTCCACCCCCTGCGGTTCACTCTTGAGGTCTTTATAAAAGTTGTACACGGCGCACTCCAAACCAAAGAAGACGATAGTAATTATCCCGTAACGCACAATGATTGCTTTCCCGTCGGATAAATCCGTAAAACATATTGTATACAATATGGCAATTGTAGCCAAAACTAGACAAGTGATAGTTATGACCAGATGGGCTAAAACTAATTTGGGTTTTTGCTAAAACACACAACGTTAAGCGAAGACTCCAAAATAAGTTCTATTATCACTTTCGTGGCACCGCATGCCAGTAACAAACCACTATTCAAGTGCACGAAGCCCATAATATAATAAAACCACAGAAACATCCCGCCAACTTCATTGCCAGCCATAATAACTTGAATTATCCTTATCATTCCGGTTGTCTTAAATGATTTTGTAAGTGGATGCACTCTTAAATATTTTTAAGTTACTTACGATTTGGAGAAAGACCACCAAGCCGACACAAAAATGAAGAGGGCATTTGTTCATCCCCATTTTGTCACTCAAGATCTCATGCGCTTCTGATAGTTCTGAACGAACAAGGGCTATAAAGGTTCGCGCTGATTCTGATACGCAGAAGCGGTTTGGGGAGAAAATGAATGCGCCGAGAAGAGTTATCAACGGGAAATTTCCCCTAAAAACTGGAGGTTCGCCAAATATTTTGAGTCCATACGTTTGTGTTACACACTTTCGTAATGTGTGATCGCTACCCGTTAAACACTGACATTTTTCATATCAGGATGTACAAAAACATCTCAAATGTTTCGACTTCGGCTTGTTAAAATTATTTATAATTTTACAGGAAAGTTATAGGAAATTGCCAATGCCATTTTGATTCCTAACACTAATAACACTTTTCAGATTTGCTTAAACAGGTGACTCAAAAAAATTAATGAATCGGTCAATTTATTATTGATCAAATTAAGAACGAGCCACCCCATGTTTTGGAAAATGTGAGAATACGCTCGTCGTTATAACAATAAAATAATGGGGATAAACTCATTCAAATCAAATAAATGTCTACGTGACATTCTTCCGATGTAATGTATTCTCGCATTCAACAGCATGGGGGACGTCGAACATCAGGCACAGATGCGTTTTGCTATGACGTCTGAAGTGCGGCCGGTGCATCCTTGCCTTACTCGCTTCTCGCTTTCCAGTTGTGCGTCATTTTTAACAATTTACAGAAATAGTTGTATTTTCAGCGAGACCGACACTTGAAAATTATTAAAAATATTATTATTATGCCGACTTCCAGTTCACTCTCCATGGTTTTATCAAATAAGCACAAAAATAAAATAAGAGATGGTATCCACGTGAATGATTCTTAACTTTATTATTGTCATATTGTTCCAACAAGTAACAAAACACTATGGTTTCACACTACATACTTAAAATTAAATTTCACGAAGTTTCCAATTTTTCATCAAACTTCTGAAGTCGTCTGAGTGTCCACCCCCTGCGGTTCACTCTTGAGATCCTTATAAAGGTTGTACACGGCGCACTCCAAACCAAAGAAGACGATAGTAATTATCCCGTAATACACAATGATTTCTTCCCCGCCGGATAAATGCGTAAAACATATTGTATACAATATGGCAATTGTAGCCAAAACTAGACTAGTGATAGTTATGACTAGATGGGCTAAAACTGCTTTGGGTTTTTGCTAAAACACACAACGTTAAGCGGATACTCCAAAATAAGTTCTATTATCACTTTCGTGGCACCGTATGCCAGTAACAATCCGCTAGCCAAGTACACGAGACCCATAAAGAGATAAAGCGGCATAATCGTCCTGCCCATACATGTTAGAATTATCCGCAACACTCCGGTTGACTTGAATGATTTTGTCAGTGGATGCACTCTTAAATATTCAAGTTACTTACGATTTGGAAAAAGACCACCAAGCCGACACAAAAATAAAGAGCGCATTTTTTTATCCCCATTTTGTCACTCAAGATCTGCGGCCCTTCTGATAGTTCTGAACGAACAAGGGCCATAAATGTTCGCGTTGATTCTTATACGCAGGAGCGGTTTGGGGAGAAAATGAATGCGCCGAGAAGAGTTATCAACGGGAAATTCCCCCTAAAAACTGGAAGTCTGCTAAATATTTTGAGTTCATATCTTTGTCTTACACCCTTTCGTAATGTGTGGTCGCTACCCGTTAAGCACTATTTTTCATATCAGGATGTACAAAAATATCTCAAATGTTTCGACTTCGGCTTGTTAAAATTATTTATAATTTTACAGCAAAGTTATAGGAAATTGCCAATGCCAATTTGATTCCTAACACTATTAACACTTTTCAGATTTGCTTAAACAGGTGACTCAAAAAAATTAATGAATCGGTCAATTTATTATTGATCAAATTAAGAACGAGCCACCCCATGTTTTGGAAAATGTGAGAATACGCTCGTCGTTATAACAATAAAATAATGGGGATAAACTCATTCAAATCAAATAAATGTCTACGTGACATTCTTCCGATGTAATATATTCCCGCATTCAACAGCATGCGGGACGTCGAACATCACACACAGATGCGTTTTGCTATGACGTCTGAAGTGCGGCCGGTGCATCCTTGCCTTACTCGTTTCTCGCTTTCCAATTGTGCATCATTTTTAATAATTTACAGAAATAGTTGTATTTTCAGCGAGACCGACACTTGAAAATTATTAAAAATATTATTATTATGCCGACTTCCAGTTCACTCTCCATGGTTTTATCAAATAAGCACAGAAACAAAATAAAGGATGGTATCCACGTGGAAGTTTCTTAACTTTATTATTGTCATATTGTTCCAACAAGTAACAAAACAGTAAATAACAATGGTTTCACACTACAGAATTAAAATTAAAAATTTCACGAAGTTTCCAATTCTTCATCAAACTTCAGAAGTCGTATGAGCGTCCACCTCCTGCGGTTCACTCTTGAGTTCCTTATAAAACTCATACACGGCGCGCTCCAAACCAAAGAAGATGCAAATAGCTGCCACGTAACCCACAACGATTCCTGTCCCATTGGATAAATTCATAAAACATATTATAAACAATACGCCAATTGTAGCCAGACCAAGACAACTGATAGTTATGACCAGATGGGCAAAAACTAACTTGGGTTTTTCCTAAAACACACAACTTTAAGCGAAAACTCCAAAATAAGTTCTCTTATCACCTTCGCGGCACCGTATGCCAGTAACAAGCCGCTAACCAAGTGCACGAAGCCCATGATAAAATAAAACCACACAAACGACCCGCCAACTTCGTCTCCAGCCGTAATTACTTGAAATACCCTTATCATTCCAGTTGTCTTAAATGATTTTGTAAGTGGATGCACTCTTAAATATTTAAGTTACTTACGATTAGGATAAAGGCCATAAAGCCGACACAAAAATGAAGAGCGCATTTGTTCATCCCCATTTTGTCACTCAAGATCCGCAGCCCTTCTGAGCGAACAAGGGCTGAAAGTTCGCGCTGATGCTTATACGCAGGAGCGGTTTGGGGAGAAAATAATGCGCCGAGAAGGGTTATCAGGGGGAAATCCCCCCCAAAACTGGGTGTCAAAATTTCGGGTCTGCCAAATATTTTGAGTCATATCAGGATGTACAAAAACATCTCAGATGTTTCGACTTTGACTTGTTAAAATAATTTTTTCGTAGGAAATTGCCAATGTCAGTTTCATTCCTAACACTATGAATCCTTAGTTTTGCCATTATCATTAGTTGAAAACTACTAGCAAACCACGTCATAAAAAATCGGAATGGACTGAATTTAAATTGAGGACTTCATCAATTGCTTTCCGATTGCATACAATGTTGTCGCAGTCGGGAAACAGTAATTTCAGCTAAAAGAACTATATCGATATTAAATACTACTTCTGCTACTCTCTCGTTTGCGGCATAGGGAAGAATTTGGACAATAGAGGAATCTGTTCTGCGTGAACGAAGTTGGAAAAGACTGCTAGAAATTGTTGTGATGCGGCTCCATCTGCCGGATTGGGTAACAAACGTTTATTTCGTCGGCGGCCCGGCGGCGGCTGCGGCTTGCCGACCCGCCACATTCCACAATTCATTAAAAAAATGCAGTTAAAAAATATAAATAAAAGTACCGTCTCTTACTATTTTCATTTACATTTAATTTTTCAAAAATGTGTTTGGCAAATTGTCAAATAACTTAATTGAAACATTATCGAATTAAAATTGAATTTATTTAAAAAATGAAATTCATTATTGCTGAAATATCTGAACACGCTTAGATGTGTAAAGGTACTAGTACCGCCCACCCACCCATTATTTTCTTAGAAGAGTAGGTCACCTGCCAAAATCAATCTTATCTTGGCAAGTATGAGGCTGATTTTTGCAAATGACATATTCTCTAAGAAAATAAGGGTGGGTGGGCGGGGCTAGTACTTGTCAAGATAAGACTGATTTTGGCAGATGACTTATTCTTCTAAGAAAATTAAGGTTGGGTGGGTGGGGTTAGCACTTGCTAAAAATAAACAAAATTAAAAATAAAAAAATGACAAATTGTAAAATCGGATGAATGAGAAATCGGAAAATTGTACAACTGTATAATCGGAAAATCAAAAACTGAAATATCGAAAAATTGGAAAAAAACAATTCTTATAAAATCAAATTCGAAATTCCAGTTTTCTTTTTTTTTTAGTTTTTAGATTTTTACAACTTTTGAATATTTCATTTGATAATTTGTTTGACAATTTCGCAAATTTTAAATTTACAATTTTTGAATCTTTTGATTTTAATTTTTCAAGTTCTGAAGTTTAAAATTTTTCCTTTTCACGATATGTCATTTTTCGATTTTTTAACTAAAAGAAGAAATTTATTCGAACCGAAATTTTGAAAAATTGAAAATTAGAAACAAAATTTTCAGATGTTCGATTTTTAAGATTAGTGTTTTTTTCAATTTTTCGATATTTCAGTTTTTGAATTTCCGATTTCTCATTGATCCGATTTTTCAATTTTTCATTTTTTGATTTTTAATTTTTTTTATTTTTATCAAGTACTAGTCCCACCCACTCACCCTTTATTTTCTTAGAAGAGTGGGTCATCTGCCAAAATCAGTCTTATTTTAACAAATACTAGCCCCGCCCACCCACCCTTGTTTTCTCAGAGGACATTTCATCTGCCAAAATCAGTCTTATCTTCGCAAGAATGAGGCTGATTTTTGCAAATGACATATTGTCTAAGAAAATAAGGGTGGGTGAGCGGGGCTAGTACTTGTCAAGATAAGACTAATTTTGGCGGATAACCCACTCTTCTAAGAAAAGAAAGGGTGGGTGAGCGGGGCTAGTACTTGCTAAAAATAAAAAAATTTAAAAATCAAAAAATGACAAATTGAAAAATCGGATAAATGAGAAATCGGAAAATTGTGCAACTGTATAATCGGAAAAACAAAAACTGAAATATCGAAAAATTGAAAAAAAACTATTCTTATAAAATTAAATTTGAAATTCCAGTTTTCGTTTTTTTTAGTTTTTAGATTTTTACAACTCTTGAATATTTCATTTGATAATTTGTTTGACAATTTTGCAGGTTTTAATTCCAATTTTTTGGTTTTTCAAGTTTAAACTTTACAATTCTTGAATTTTTTGATTTTAATTTTTCAAGTTCTCAAGTTTAAAATTTTTCTTTTTCACGATATGTCATTTTTCGATTTTTTAACTAAAAGAAGAAATTTATTCGAACCGAAATTTTGAAAAATTGAAAATTAGAAACAAAATTTTCAGATGTTCAATTTTTTAAGATTAGTTTTTTTTCAATTTTTTCGATATTTCAGTTTTTGATTTTCCGATTTCTCATTTATCCGATTTTTCAATTTGTCATTTTTTTTTTTTAATTTTTTTATTTTTAGCAAGTACTAGTCCCACCCACTCACCCTTTATTTTCTTAGAAGAGTGGGTCATCCGCCAAAATCAGTCTTATTTTAACAAATACTAGCCCCGCCCACCCACCCCTGTTTTCTCAGAGGATATGTTATCTGCCAAAATCAGTCTTACTTTCGCAAGTATGAGGCTGATTTTTGCAAATGACATTCTCTAAGAAAATAAGGGTGGGTGGGCGGGGCTAGTACTTGTCAAGATAAGACTGATTTTGGCGGATGACCCACTCTTCTAAGAAAATAAAGGGTGGGTGGGCGGGGCTAGTACTTGCTAAAAATCAAAAAATGACAAATTGAAAAATCGGATAAATGAGAAATCGGAAATTTGTGCAACTGTATAATCGGAAAATCAAAAACTGAAATATCGAAAAATTAAAAAAAAACAATTCTCATAAAATCAATTTTGAAATTCCAGTTTTCATTTTTTTTTTTTAGTTTTTAGATTTTTACAACTTTTGAATATTTCATTTGATAATTTGTTTGACAATTTTGCAGTTTTAAATTCCAATTTTTTGATTTTTAAAGTTGTCAAGTTAAAATTTTTCCTTTTCACCATTTGTCATTTTTCGTTTTTTTAACTAAAAGAACAAAATTTTCAGGTGTTCTAAAGTTTCGGTAAACATGGAAAATCGCTGATCAAAATTTCTTTTTACTTCCTTCCAAAAATTCGGTGATAAAAAATCAAAAATCGCAAATTAAAAAAATAAACATTTATTTTCTCGATATTTTTAAAAATCAAATAATTGAGAAATCGGAAAACTGCCAAAATTGTAAAATTAAAATTCGAAAGTTTTCTTCAGTTGCCCAGAGATATCAAAAATCGAAAAACAGATCAAAAATTGGTCTAAAGAGTTTAGACAGTACTTCCCTCGCTGTCGGAAACTTGACGACTGCATGCCAATTGTGTTTTTTTTTTCATTACATTTTTGTAGTGGGAATTTAAAAAAAAAATGCAATGACGTCATCAACATTTTTGCAAGGACACGTATATCAGTTGGGATAGATGTGGTGTAATAATAAGAATAAAATTATTGTATTCCCAAATTTTCGGGAAATTAATGAATCGGTCAATTTATTATTGATCAAATTAAGAAGGAGCCACCCCATTTTCTGGAAAATGTGAGTATACGCTCGTCTTTATAACAATACAATAATGACAAGGAAAAAATTATAATAATCACATTCAGAATATTTTGTTCAATGGAGGCTTATGAATAATTTTAGTCATCTGTTTTGGGGCGATAAACTCATTCAAATCAAACAAATGTCTACGTGATATTCTTCCGATGTAATGTATTCCCGTTGATAAATAATGTGCTGTAAATAAATTTTTTGCACTCATAACCTGATGACCTTGGCGCATTCAATAGCATGCGGGACGTCGAACATCACGCACAGATGCGTTTTGCTATGACGTCGTTGATTATAAATAAAGCTGGGCGGTCGAAATTTATTCATCCTATCTACCCGTCTGAAGTGCGGCCGATGCATCCTTGCCTTACTCGCTTCTCGCTTTCCAATTGTGCATCATTTTTAATAATTTACAGAAATAGTTTTATTTTCAGCGAGACCGACACTTGAAAATTATTAAAAACATAATTATTATTATGCCGACTTCCCGTTCACTCTCCATGGTTTTATCAAATAAGCACAAAAATAAAATAAGAGATGGTATCCACGTGAATGATTCTTAACTTTATTATTGTCATATTGTCCCAACAAGTAACAAAACAGTAAATAACTATGGTTTCACACTAAATAACTAAAATTAAATTTCCCGAAGTTTCTGATTCTTCATCAAACTTCAGAAGTCGTATGAGCGTCCACCTCCTGCGGTTCACTCTTGAGTTCCTTATAAAACTCGCACACGACGCGCTCCAAACCAAAGAAGATGCAAATAGCTACCACGTAACCCACAACGATTCCTCCTGTCCCGTCGGATAAATCCACAAAACATATTATAAATAATACACCAATTGTAGCCAGACCAAGACAACTGATAGTTATGACCAGATGGGCAGAAACTAACGTGGGTTTTTGCTAAAACACACAACGTCAAGCGAAGACTCCAAAATAAGTTCTCTTATCACTTTCGCGGCACCGTATGCCAGTAACAAGCCGCTAACCAAGTGCAAGAAGCCCATGATTAAATAAAACCACACAAACGACCCATCAGCTTCTTCTCCAGCCGTAATTACTTGAATTATCCTTATCACTCCGGTTAACTTAAATCATTTTGTAAGTGGATGCACTCTTAAATATTTATTTAAGTTACTTACGATTAAGAGAAAGGCCACCAAGCCGACGCAAAAATGAAGAGCGCATTTGTTCATCCCCATTCTGTCACCAAGATCCGCGGCCCTTCTGAGCGGACAAGGGTTATAAGTTCGCGCTGATGCTTATATGCAGGAGCGGTTTGGAGAGAAAATAATGCGCCGAGAAGGGTTATCAGGGGGAAATCCCCCCCAAAACTGGGTGTTAAAATTTCGGGTCGGCCAAATATTTTGACTCATACCGTT